TTATATTATAACGATATCTTTAACTAACTAAACGAACTCGTTTATTGTTGCTACGGAAGAAATCTAACGAGAGATGTATTTTCATGGTTGGCAGCTTCGAGGACGTGGGACAATGGAAACTAAAAAGCTACACCAAACTATGATTTCAGAATCCTCTTGCCCTCCAATCCCTTCGTTTGGTCAACCTTTCGAAAACCTTTCGAGAGACACTTATTAGTGATTTACGTGAGAGGGGGAAATTTATGTAGGAATTGAAGAAAGTTTATTTTCATTTCTTATTGGGTAAATGATACCTGCTTCTTAGATGAATAAATTAACTTCCCTTTTGGAAATCTGACACAAAATTGTCCATTTTGATAATACAATTTTTATGATTAAAATGGTTATTATTTTATTTATCTGAAAAATAAAAGAACATGGAAAAATACATTTATTCCGATAAATCCCAACCTTTTACCAGATATATAATTTATCTAAAAACGAACAACGTTGTCAAAGATAAGGACAACGGCAACTTCATCACTTTTAAGGTGATGAGCCAAAGGTCTCACCTATAAAGAATTAAAAGACATTAGAGTCGCTAGGATGTGATCCTAAGGGCCACGATTCCAATGATCAAGTTAGCTGAAGGCGCTCAAGAAAGATCGATGTCCCAGAAAAGCAAGAGTAATTGAGAGTAAGAGATTATGTAAAGAGAGGCACCTGTGACCATGGGTTCCTTTTATAATCGGCATCCTTGGTGTAAGTGTGGTGAGTGCTGCTGCATAATTGCTCCGCATGTTGAGGGGCCATAAAGCGAGAGACATTTAAGATGTGTGAACTACGTGATTGAGCGTTATCCTACCATAAATGCATTGGGGAAGGCTCGCTGAGATCATAACGTTTGTAATTAAGGCCCCACATTGATGAAAGCAAAAATGGACATTGATGCCCCGCAAGGTCCTGTGAGATGGCGAGAGTGCCCTTTGAGGTGCACCGCGTGTCGTTTGCCGATGGCATAGTCAATGTTACCCGTATCATTATACATACTACTCCAAATATTCCAGACCTCATGGATGTAGGGAGAATCATTGTATATCATCTTTCTTCCTTTCAATAATGGAACTTCATGAATGTCTCATCCAAATGATGAATGAAACAAGAATTATGAAATTACACTCCCCCTATAAATCACATCTTGCCCGTGGGTTTGGCATCAATTCATGGTCAGCATTCATCCTACCTGTACGATGGGATTAAAAATTTTAAGATGGGCTGAATAATCATTATTCCTAAATAAAATAGAATTATAATTTGGTCCCCAAACTTTAAAATGCGACAATTCAGTACCGAAACTTTTAAAATGTGATAATATAGTCTTGAACTTTCAAAATATCATAATCCAGTACTTGTCGTTAATCATTCCATCAATCAGTTGTTAAGTGACATTTGAAAAATAAATAAATGTCATCTAATTCTCTTTATCAACCATTCAAACATTAACAATGAAATAAACAATCCCAAATTCCAGATTCTTCTAAACAATCACCAACTTTTTTAAATAGAAGAGTCTAGGATTTGGGACTGTTTAGATTTTTTGTCAACATTTGGATGATTGATAAAGAGAATTAGATGGCATTCGAAGGACATTCTTGACTTTTCAAATATCACTTAACGACTAATTAAAAGACTGGTTAATGGAAGGTACTAAATTGTCACATTTTGAAAGTTTAGGTACTGAATTAATTGTCACATTTTGAAAGTTCGGATACTTGGTGGTTGAATTTTAAAGTTTGGGGACCAAATTGTCACTCAAGCCAAAATACATGGTACTGATCGAAAATTTTCCCTTTAATTTATGATGATTTCAAGTCGACGGAGGAGAAAATAGTGTTGGGTGAGTTTTATTGTTAAGTTCAATGTTGGTTTGAATTTAATAGTGTTGGATGAGTTTTATTGTTAAGTTCACAAATTGGTCAATATTGGTTTGGTTCAAAAGGTATAATTTGCTTTGTTCCATCACTGCTCTTTTAATATATATATTATATATCTATATATATATATAGATATATAATATATATATATATTAAAAGGAAACGGGTGCTCTTTGCATCCAGGAAATGGAATTTACTCGTGCGAGTAGATCCCGCGCACCAGCACCCATTTCCTATAGATAATAATAATCTTAATTACTATAATAATAATTACTGATTATTACATTAACTTAATAAATACAATAGTAATTATTATATTAGTTTTGTAAATATATAATTAGTCATTATAATTAATAATTACTATTATATATTGTTAACAATTAGATATTTATTTCAAATTTATTTTAAATTAAAATTATAAATATTATTATTAAAAAACACTATTAATAAATTTAGTAACCCGGTTTTAATAATTACTAATTATTATAGTAATTTAATAAATATATAATTATTGATTATAATTAATAATTACTGTTATTATAAATATTGTTAATAAGAAGATATTTGTTTTACTTTTACTTTAAATTAAAATTATAAATACTATTAATAAATTTAGTAATTATTGTTATATTAAAAATAATTAAAAATGTTATTAAAAGTAGTGTTATTGATTATTTAATAAAAATTTATAATTACTGACTATTACAGATAAATACTGTTAATTTAATTTAATTTTGATAATTATTAATTTAATGAATATTATTAATAAATCATATTTATAAATTTAATAATTACTATTATATTAAAATAATTAAATAACATTATTAAAACTATCATTAATGATTATTTAATTAAATAATATAATTATTTACTATTTTTGATAAATATTGTTAACTGACAATAAGTTACTGACCGAAATTAAGAAAAAACGAAACTAATTGCTAGATGGTTGTCGATTAAAAAAATAAAAAAATAGCTAAAACCATTAAATGGATCAATAAGTCAATAATTCGAATGCTCAGGTCAATAGGTTATTGAGCGATTTAACGATTTTTGGCCAACTGGATCAACGAGTCGACGGTGCGGGGCCCCTACGCTGGTTTAGATATATATATACACACTAGAATGGGTGGTTTCCCTGGAAACGGAATCTACTCGTGCGTGTAGATTTCGCATCTCACGGGCAAGTAGCTCGTGCGTGTATGCATTGCATGACACGCACGTGGCCGAATATCTCTTTCCATCTCTCTCGAATTACTTCCGCATTTTTCTTCGAGATGCTTCTTCTCACCTTCCAGTCTCTTCCATCCCCCGCCTCCCTGTAAAATTTCTTGTTATGCTGCCTCTCTTTTCATCCTCTCGTTTCTCTTTCTTTCCATTCTCTCTCGAATCACTCCTCCCATTTCTTCGTCGGGAGAGAATGAATGTGATATCCATTCCTTCTCTCTACTCCCTCTTCGAAGAAACCACAATCTTCTTCTCCATCTCGATGTGCTATCCATTCCTTCCTCTCTCTCCTCCGCCTTTCGCGTTGACTGCTCTTATAACTTGACCCAGGACGAGCTCTGCATCAACATATCACTCTGTGACGCCGACGCCTTAATCGTCAGGAGTGGCACAAAAGTAACTCGGGAAGTGTTCGAATCGTCTGGTGGCTGCCTTAAGGTAATAGAGCCAATAATATTTATATTAGAAAACAACAACAGAGAAAAAAGACAAGAACATATCTAGACCAGAAGGATCAATCCTCACCGGTTTCAATGCATTCTGGTATTCGCACCACTTTCTTGCCATTGTCTACGTCTACATATTGCTTGTTGTTCACGGCACCTTTCTCTACCTCGTCCACAAATGGTACCTCAAGACGGTAATCACTAAATTAACAATTCATTACTGGTTTCTTTGGTAATATGCACTTTAGTTGGTGGTTTAACTTTTGAGTTGTGTTTGTTTGTAAAACTTGCAGGCGTGGATGTATCTAGCTGTTCCTGTTTTGCTTTATGCGGGAGAGAGGACCCTACGATTCTTCCGCTCTGGCTTTTACTCTGTTCGTCTACTGAAGGTAATCAATCACTTATCCTGATAGCATGTTAGTTTGCCAGGGTCTCGAAAGTGGGCCCAATTCAGAGCTATCTGAATGTGTGCCAAGTGTTTGAGACTGTTATTAGGCCCAGGGAGGAGAAGACCTAGCGGAGCAAGTCAGGCCCAACAGGCCTATGCGACAAATCACGCGGATGACACCACTCCTTACATTTGTATACACCCGATGCCACGTATTAAAAAAAAAGTAATCATAGACTGTTTAAATGCTCAGAATAGGTTACAGGTTGTTAGCTGGCCATTTACTGTATTGGCCAATGAATGAATGCATCTTTGAAATTTCTCTTTCTCTCACTATCTCCCTCTCTTTCTCTTCTCTCGTCCAACTCACCGGTGACAGATAGTAGCGGGTCTTATTAGAGACTTTGAGGCACTGGTCCAAATTCGGAATGAGAAGTGCTACCCCTGTTCTAGGGCTACTGAGTGATATGATGTACATATTTTGGTGGTTGCCAGTGTGAATGTTTCTGCAATTCGTAAGAAAAAAAAAAGTGAGGAAAGAAACAAATTCATTGTTCTTATAACAATATAAATGATAAAAGTCACTGTAGACTTGTAAATCTCAAGATTATAAAAAGGTCTAGCTTGATCAAGTATCTTATATTGGCTTTTCTTTTGATGGGTGGAAATACTAATGTGACTATCTTTTCCTAGTGATTGACAGACTACGCAGTTACTAGAGGTTGTGGACTTGCGGTCAAATTTAATAATTCTGAAATTTTAAAGATACTTACTGATTATGCATTATATCCCCCCTTGACTGTACCTCTATTTGAATCAGTTGGTCACATGGATCTAGGATCTACTTTTCCAAGTTGAACCTGAACATCACTTAATTCCAAAAAAGGCCATTAGCCAATTCAACCGGTTCTATCATCTATGGCCAAGTATATTCCTAATATTTGGGGAGCATTATGCATAAGCTAGATCCCTGCTGTTGATTGATGCTATGGGCAGGCACCCGTTGGGACATGCCTCTGTTGATGACTACCTATACGTTACTTTTTTTTTTATATATTATATTTTTATTTTTCAAAGCAAATATTTGACCCATTTGGTTTTTTTAATTAAAAAGTTCAGGTTACCATTTATCCAGGTAATGTTCTCGCTTTGCAAATGTCCAAGCCTGCCCAATTCCAGTATAGAAAGTGGCCAGTACATGTTCGTCCAATGCCCGGGTGTGTCTCCATTTGAGTGGTAACTTTGCAACAGTATCACTTATTTTGCACATAATCAATTAATATAGACACTGCATATCTGTTTTGGTATCCAAGCTATTTCATATTCGAGTCATTTGGTATCTTTTATTTTGCAAATTAAAGCACTGATTTGTTTTTATTAATTTATTTTCTTGATGCAACTGTAATGGTTAAACTTATTGAATTCTTGCTTATTCTTTTCCTAATGAGATTTTAGAATGGAATAAGGATGCTGAACAACATATGAATTCCTAATGATATTTTTGGGATGAACTTAGTTGGTTGTGATCTTGTCGAAACTCCACCTTATTTTTTCAACCTAAGAGCATATAAAGTATTTGATATTGCAACTGCACTGGTTTATTTAAACAAGATTATTAACTCGTATGTACACATAGGTTCTCAAGTTGAAATGCTTAGTCACTAATAGAGGCCCTTACTTTGCAATTCAGAGTTGGGTTTTAGAGTTTGAAGTCCATCTTCACAAAACAAATTTGATAGCCTTTAGCCGACTTCCCCTCCGGGAGAATTAAAGAGGGCGGGGGGAGGGAGTTCAAAGGAAGGAGAAAGAAAAACCTCACTCTGCAGAAAACCTTTGGAATTTTCCCAACCTTTGGCCACTGATTCTTATTTAATGGTCACCATCTTCTCTCAGATATCAGTAACACTTCAACCCAACCCAGAAATTATTTTAGTATTACTCAATATTGTTTCTAAACTTTGACATATAATTATTTGATAATATTTGGTGTAAATGTCTTTCTATGTGAATAATTTGCATGTTATGTTGTTAAGATATTCAGGCACCCGTTTTCAATTACATCAGCTCCTGATGATGATTACTTGAACATCCACATCCGACGGCTAGGTGACTGGACAAAAGAGATCAAGAGGGTATTTTCAGAAGTTTGTGAGCCACTGTTGCTGGGAGAAGTGGGCTTCTTAGAGCAGATGAAACAACCAAGAAAAAGTATATAACATATTCTAACCTGCATTGAATTCAGTATCTTCTGTGACATTATGGTCTTTGTGACAAGTTAGGGATGATTGACATCCCCCTCTTTTTTTTTGTATGGTCACCCTAATCTATATAAACAAAATCTAGTGCCTCCAGCCAGAACTTTTGGCTTTCTCAACTCTTTCTTCTTTTTTTCCTCTTCCCTCTTCTTATTTCTTCTAACTGAAAACAGCGAGTCTTCTTATTTTGGATTTGTTCTGTTTTTTTCCCCTATCTTGTGATGTTTCTAGGTGTTGCCTTAACACCTGACCAGTTTGTAATATTTTTTTTTTCTTTTCATGAAATCTTTTCTTTTATTATAAAAAAAAAAGTCTTGCTTACACTTACTAATCTCATGTATTGCTCTTAGTATTTGGGAGAGGCTCTTTTTTCTTTTCGGGTGCAAGTGTGATACTCCAAGGGAAGCAGTGTTGCATACTTTATGTGGAGATGTTTCACTTGTAGGACAGCTTCCTGGCTAAAAACTCATGAGCTGTTTTTACCATTCTCTATGGATTACATAAGAAATTGGGCTGCGGTAGTAGGCCATCTTCAAAAAAGAGGAGGGAGATATGTGCATGGACAGGACTGAGAAGGGGCTTCCTAAAATTGAACTGTGATGGCAGCAGTTTTGAAAATACAAGGCCTTCCAAAATAGGGGTGTTTTCAGAAATGAGGGAAAAAGGTCAAACCCTTGTCCAATTTGAAAGCAATCAAAACTGAAACTGACATAAAATCACTTTATGAAAGTGCTTATCACCAACTACCCAAGTAATGCTTTAGCTATAGCACACAAGTGTGCATCGTTTACTAAATCCATATTTTATAATCTCAAATTTCTATACCATGTTGAAAAACCATAGAAATATCCTTCCCATCATTTAATTTATGAATTGCATATGTAGGAGGCCAACCACTTTAAATGGATTTCAAATTGAAACAGCAAGGGATCATGTAAGCTAATTATTTACGTCACAATTCCAAGCAATTCCAAACTCTTCAGATTTCTGCAAGAAATGTTGTATGAGAAAACAAACAAATTCTCTTACTGAATATAGCACCATAAACCAAAACAGACCCCTAATTTAGATAGAATTGGTTTCAACCCAAACCTGGTCCATTGACACATATTCTTATCTTATATTAATGGACCAAATATTGGCTTAATCCAATCAAATCTAATATAAATTTGTTACCAACGGACCAGGTCTAATATTTTGGACGGGATTGGTCCATCCAATCTCCAAACAAATGTTTCTGTACATGTTGACATGAAAAAAGAAAATAAAAATAAATCATAACCTACTGGACCTGCTCAGTTTATCATGTGAACACACCCTTATGAATACATATGCATTCAAATGAAAGAAATAAACATAATACCATGAGGTGATACTCAAAATGCTAGTAGTATATTGTATACAAATTACAAACCAAACACTTTTTGTTCATTTCCATTTTTAAGTTCCTTGGTGTACATGGACTACAAGAGAGAAATGCCTCAAAGCACCTATAATAAGGATAGAAAGTTCACTTAACATACCTATTATCCATTGGTACTATCAGGATGTGTATCAACATGCTTCTAAAAATGGTAAACCAAATTTGCAAGTATATAAAATTCACAAAGAGATGTTCCCAATGTGCATTTGGATGCATATGCTTTTAAGAGTGCATGTAGAGTTTTTATTTTCATGAAATCCCAGTTACCCTTAATCCCTCCTTAAAATTAATATGTAATACCTGTTGTTGAGGTAGAGAGGGCCCATTAGGCCTCAAGCAGACCACAAGCCTACACCCAAACTGCTACTAACCCATATGATGAAAGAGACAAACCATATGATGAAAGAGGCAAATCAAATACTTAGATCATGAAACGATCGATTCCATAGCATCTTCTACCCAAAGGATTCCATAGCATCTATTGATCGCATGCTACAATAGAACACCGACAAATTCACATGTTCGAATTGTTTTTTCTTTTTTGATGAATTTCACATGTTCGAATTGTTGTCACATGAAGCCATAAAAAATAATGAACCAATGAAAACCAGATGTTTATAAAACCAAATCTTACTTCTTTCACTCGGAAGATTGACTATATGTTAAAGAACTTAAAGTGCAACAAAATAGGAACTATAATTGGCAACATTTAAGGAAGAAAGTCTATAGTATAATAAGAGAAGATGACTATCCATCTAGGAATCAATATACCCACTTTTAATTTATATTCCTCCAAATACTTCCTAGCTTACTCTCTAGGATGCAATTTGACCTCATTTCCACGTCCAAGTGGTTTATTCCATACATCTTCAGAATTTGCAAATGGCTCATCAGCCATGAACTCCATATACACCTGAAAACAATAAAGAAAATTTATATTGGTTTTCCATGTCCGCAAAGGATTCAAGTGAGAGACAAGAAAAAGACTTTCCAAATTAATTAGTTAAAACGTCAAAATGTTACTATCTGTACAGATGACTCAACATAGTCAACAACAAGATGCACAGAGTAAAACCCAACTCCAAAACTGCCCATTTTCTTCACAAAAGTTGCATAAGAAAGAAAAATATGACTTGGTACAATCCAGAACTGAACAATAAACATCACAATGTTTTCTTGTCTATACCAATTAAAAACAAAGTTACTTGAAGTTCCAGATTTTGCAATGGTTCCCATCAAATGCAAACCCTGACAAGAAACTTCGAATACCATTATACCAACGAGATTCACCTAACCAAAACCAGCAAACACAAACCATCAAAACCAGCAAACAGAGATTTGGTTGGTTATCAAAACCAACAAACACAAACTGTAAACCCAAAATTGGGAGAAAATAAATAGCTTCAACTTACGAAAACCACCCTCTACCGAGAAATAGAAATCGATACCTACAAAAACACAGACACATAGAAACCAACTCGTTAGAGTTAGAGAGAAAGAGAGACGGAGGGAGATATTACATGCATTTTTAGTTTTGTACTGTTGGCAAGTTTTGGTGGCATTAAAAACGGATGTTGCAGAGAAGTTAAGAAACCCTTTCCTCTCAACAACCCCTTGTGATCGTCACGCCTCCACCTCCTGCAAACAATGTAAAAGCGAGAAAACCCTAAGGAGAAGTTGCAGATCAAGAAAAGGGGAAACTGTTGGCATTGAGTTATCGCATCAAAAAAAGGAGTAAGTCACTCCTGTTACACGAGATAAAGAGATGGGAAGATAGGGAGATAGAAGGGAGTTTTCAAAAGAAGTGAGAGGAGGACAATAGAGAGGTAGCGAGGAGAGGGAGGAGAGTGAGGGGAGCGAGGAAGTAGGAAGAGAGGCAGAGAAGAGAGAGCGGGAAGATAGACAGGGAAGCTGGGAGAGAAAGAAGAAGTGTGTCGAAGCAAGAGAGAGAAATAGTGAGGCGTGTGTCACTCATGCAATGAAAGTAGTGAGACACGCTTAATTTTTTCTCTTGTGCGATCATTCTCACGTGGGAATCTACTCCATTTGCTGCACGAAGAGAACATCCCAATCGTAATAAGTATATATATATATATATAGATTTAACAACAGTATTGTTATTAATAATTTCGCCAAATGCCAAATGGCGGTTGGTAATAGCAACGGCCCCATCATGGCAATAATTCAATTACTATTAAATTAATAATTAATAATTTAATTATATTTGCTGAGTTCTCTCTCTCAAGTTCTATCTCTCTGAACTCTAATGTCCCAATTTCTTTGTTTTAGGCAAAAGCCTAGAATCCTCTATCTTTGTACGTTTGAAGGATTCAAGGAGTTGATAGATCTACCTCCATGGCCATTTAGTTAAATGACTACATGCATTAAGTTACCAAAATATGAATCTAAACTTTCCTTATTTTCTTTTTCTTGCCCTTTTCTCTTAAACCCTAATTGATCCCAAAGTAGCTTTATTTTCTCTAAAAGAAATTAGCTAAAATTACAAGAATCATTTCATTAATATAGAAAAATAAGTTTCTTTAAATTCTTCTTTCATTTCACTTACATGAATATCTCTATTCAACTTAAAATATAAAAATTATCCACTCACTTCTCCAATAAATCAAGAAAAAACAAATGAAACCTGAAATTTGTATCTATTAGATAGAAACCTTCATGATTTCTTTTGAATATTTAATCTAGCTAGAAATCTACAAGGATCTATTAGAGCAAGTGAGATGATTTCAATATTATATTCAGAGAACTAGTTGAATCATAAATTGTTCAAATAAATACGAAAAGGGTAGCTTGGGAATTTATAAACTTTAAACAACCGAATGACAATCTTTTATGAAGTAACTGATGTAACTATAACGAAGGGAGGTATTTGTTGTAACGTGAAAATTTCAGGGAGGTTTTTGTCACAAATGAAAGTTTAGGGGATAATTGTCATTGACCCCATAGTACAAGGGGGTCTCTATAGTTTACCTAATAAAATATAAGTAAATAAGAAGACATATTTTAAAGGTACATATGAAGAAGTACATTGCAATTAATATAACAAATTACATAAATATCATATAATTTTATTGATAATACATCAATTAAAAGTCCAAGGCACATTATATAGAATTTAGCAAATTATTACAGGCATGAAACCATTATTATGTTATTATTTATTTAAGTCCAAGACAAATTATGTACAACTATTATATTATAATTATTAAATCAATTATTTACTATTTTGTTATTTTACTTTTAATATAAGAAAAAAATCAACAACATACATTACACTCTCAAATATTTTTTAAATAATATTTTTGTAGTTGTAATTAACTAATAAATGTGTTGTTATTTAGTGTTAATTAAAATATTAATTAATCATTTATAAAAACATATAATCTACGTATCCATATTTTCATCCTTGACCATCATAGATGGCAACTGCTGCACTTGTTCAAGGTGCACTTACACTGCACTTCTATTTAGAACACCTACCACCTCTTGGTTTTTAGATTTAAACCCTAAAACCTAAAGCCCAAACTTTAACCCTAACCCTAAAATCTAAACTATGAACTCTTAAACCTTAAAATCCCTAACCCTATAACTTAAAGTCTAAACCCGCCCTAAACACTAAAGCCTATATCCTTAAACTCCTAAATCTTATACCCTAAAATCTAAATTCAAAACCCTATA